AATACAAAAAATAAATTGTTTAACTTATAAATACTCTAAAATGGTGCAGTGTAAGAAGTGTAAACAGTATGTGTCCTTATCAAAGGATGAGGTGATCAAGTGTAAGGGTTCTTGTGAGTCTGTATTTCACAAAAAATGTGTTCGAAAACTTAAGAAGTATATGCAGAAAGAAATTTGTAAAGAATGCCAAAAGAATGAAAGCCCTGAAATAATTAGCATGCCCATGATTGATGTTGATCTCAGTAAGACGTCAGTGGAAATGTTGCTAGGTGAGGTAAACAAAAAGTTAGAGATTATCTATAAAATGGAAAGGAGCATTGAAGAACTCAAGGATACAGTAGACTTCTACGCTGAGCAGTACCAATCGATTATTGAATTCAAGGAGGAAGCTGAGAGAAAAATCAAAAGTTTGGAGAATAAAAATACCTATCTGGAAAAATGTAACAAAGCAATGGAGGAAAGGATCTTGGAAATAGAGCAGAGGGAGAAGGAAAATAACATAGAAATTGCTGGTCTGGAGATGCAAAATAATGAACAAATTTTGGGGGTCGTGAATGTTATAGCAGAAAAATATAACTTGTGCAAGGCTGATATTGTCGACGTAAAGAGGGTAGGAAGACCAAAACCAGAAAGAACAAAGCCGCAACCAGTTATAGTTACTCTTCGGTCGAGATCGGCACGTGATAAATGGCTCAGTCTTCGCAAAACGACATTAACGAATGATCACGTATATGGTAATAAATCCAAAAATTCGATTTACATTAATGAGGACCTACCTAAATACAAGCGACAATTGTTTTGGACCTCAAAGAATGAACTAAAACAAATTTATAAATACATATGGATACAGAATTCTAATATATTAGTTAAAAAAAAACGAAACTAAAATACACAGGATTTCATGTGAGAAAGATATACAAAATCTTAAAGCATAAATATGCAACTAGCGTAATGTGGATACACTACGTGGTTTTTGTTAACCTTAAAATTCGAAAATTTTAATGAGAGCATCACAGATATACAATTTAATAGATTTAAAAATATTATTACTTGGAGTAAACAATGGGACACAAACTATAATAAAATACATATTTTACACCTAAATATTAGGTCTCTAAGAAAACATTTTAATGAGTTAACAGTACTATTACAACAAACATTATGCTCTATAAATATTATAATCTTAACAGAAGTAAACATAAAGAATGAAGAATTACCCTTTTATGAGATTCAAGGATATAATAGCTATGCGAGTACCAGAGAAGTGAAAAGAGGAGGAGGAATACTTATCTACTGGAAGGAAGGACTAAATATTGAAATGGAAGTAGGAAACACAACAGCGCTGGAAACTATATATGGACGAATAATTACGACAACAAGAACTTTACATCTTATAGCATGTTACCGACCACCGAGTAAAAACAAAAATCAATTTATAGATCAACTAGGAATATTAATAAGGAATATACCGTCACAGGATGATCTTATCATAATCGGAGACACAAATATAGATATCTCAAGAAATATAATAAACCCGACAATTAACCGTTATAAATGCACCCTGTGTGAAAACGGCCTCATGTGTGCTATACCTGCGAGGGAGATAACGCGCGAGGCGATCGTCGACGGCCGACTCGACCAGAGCTGCATCGACCATGTATGGGTACGGACGACGCGCTCCGGTTGCAGGCCGACGGCTTCATTTATACTCGAGTGCAACATCTCAGATCACAGTGCAGTAGGTATTACCCTTGATATTGACCGTAAGCATACAGTGTGCAATAACTATAATGAAGTATGTAAATACAAATTCGTAATAGATAATAAGTTAGTTAAAGAAAAATTAAGATTAACGGACTGGTCACAATTTTTGTCTATATTATGCCCAATATTGTTATATGAATCAATATGTTCTACATTCTCTAAGATTTATGCGGAAAGTAAAATTAAAATAACTTTAAAGAATAAAAGAATTAGTCAACCATGGGTCAATAAAGAACTATATGATAAATTATTAAAGCGTGATATGCTATTTCGGGAGTGGAAAGCATCGCCTAACAATATGACCAAAAGGTTAGAGTACACTTCATTTAGGAATAAGGTGAACAAATTGATTAATAGTGCTAAAAATAGGTATAGGCAAAGGGAAATAAATAATTGTAACGGGGATTTTAGAAAAATATGGGAAAATATCAATACGTGGATAGGACGCCCTAAGCCTAATCTAGATAGCGTTATCTTGAAATATCTCGGTAAAAGGGATAATATATACAATATATGTAGTGAATTTTCAAAAACCTTCACTAAAGAAATAGACTGTATAAAACATAGATGTAGCACTAATTTCCTAAATAGAAATAGTTATATTAAATCGAGCGAAGTATCTTTCAGGTTTGTAAAAGTAAACTCGTCAGAAATAAAAGAAATTATAAATAAATTGTCAGAACGAAAGTCACCAGGGGTAGATAAAATTAGAGTTAAAGATTTAAAGTATATAAAAAATGAAATAAGTCCAATTTTAGCAAATTTTGTCAATTTATGTTTAAAAAAAAGTATTTATCCAGATGAATTAAAGAAATCCATAATAAGACCCATTTATAAAGGTGGCAGCCATTATAAATACACAAATTACAGACCAATTGCTATTCTTCCAGTAATAAATAAAATTGTAGAAAAGGTACTCATACAAAGAGTGAATAGATTCTTAGAGAAATTTAACATTATTACTGATTGTCAACATGGTTTTAGGAGAGGACGGAGTACTAGTACTGCGTTAACTAAGTTTTCGGAAGCAATTAACTGCAGTCTTAATAATGGTAAACAGGTTGTGGCTCTTTTCATAGACTATAAGAAGGCATTTGATACTCTGGACCATGAGGTACTTCTGGGGGCTATGGAGAAATGTGGAATCCGGGGCCGTGTAAATGAATGGTTCCGTAATTATCTATCAAATCGGACTATTCGCACTATGGTGAGTGGGACGACTGGCGCTGAAGAAGATATCGCTCTCGGTGTACCAACCGGTTCTGTGTACGACCCCGTAGGGTACATTATACTGGTGAATAGTGTGGTAAATGTAGTGCATCACTGCGATACCTACATGTACGCCGATGACATGTGCCTATTGTATGCTTCCAAAAACTTACATGAAGCTTGTGATAAAATACAGGAAGACTTTGATCGGATTACCCAATGGGCACATGATAACGGCATAATACTGAATTTGAAAAAAACAAAGTGTATGCATATACATTCTCCATACAACAGGCTAGCTAAGAATGTACGCTATGAAGAAATAGGTATTGTAGGGCATGACTATGAGTGCTTGCATAGGAGAAAATTACCATGTCAATGTGCCAAAATAGAGTTTGTTAATAGTTACAAATATTTAGGATTGTTGGTAGATAGCAGTTTTAATTGGAAATTACACATTGAAGAAGTATGTTCAAAATTAAGGTCCATTTTAGGTAAATTCTATCAAATTCGAAAAGTAGTAAGTAAACATGTTCTATTAGTGGTTTACTATGCATTAGTTGAGTCTTTAATTAACTATGGTCTTATTGTTTATGGCCGCACATTTAGTACCTATATAAAACAAGTGAAAAGCCTACAAATACGTATTATAAAATTTTTAATTAATTCAAAAGATAAGAAGAGTTGTAAAAAACAATATGAAAAATTATTTCCCATGTGTAAAATACTCCCTGTTAATACACGGCTAAAATATTTAATAGCAATTGAACATTACTATATTGACGACTATAAAGTACCAATTATTAACACTTACAACACGCGTAAGGTAAGGGAAAAAAACTTGAAGAGCCTAGTGCAAATAACTATTACGGACAACGCTTGAATAAATACATTGTACCCAGAATCTTTAACAAAATAAAATGGTTAAGAGAAACGCCTCCAAATAAAAATAAAAATAAATTAAGCAAAAACTTATTAAAATCCTCTCTGAAAAGGACATTATTAACAGAGCTATAACACATTACATATTGTTGCATACTTTTATTAATCGCTTTTTATATTTAATTGATTTGCTTATTGTTGTGTTGTATTTTTTTTTCATTATTATTATTATTATTATTTTTTTAGTTTTATAATTTCTAAATATTATGAAATTGTAGTAGGTAAATTTGATATAACTATCTTTTATTTTCTTTTGTTTATTATAATTAATTGTATTTGTATAGGTGATATTGCATAATAATATATAGTTTTAAGAGCGTGTACTCGCCGACAAACTGATTGCAGTTTGGCGAGAGAATAGTAAAAATAATGTACTTACCTTTGTATGAATAAATAAATTGAAAAAAAAAAAACTTCTACCGGTTATGAACGCGCCGTATCGAGCCGAGCGCCCTCCGGCGTCAAGTCTTGAAACCAACGTTTGGGCGTGAACACTCCATATCGTGACTTAACGCACAACCGGGCATATTTTCTTTAAAAATATTTTTAAATATATGAAAAGAATGCGTCTTGACTTTTTGACGATGTCACTAAGACTAACGGAGATATATCCTATAGGACATAAGTTACAGACGACAATTTTGCTGCTGATGTCCGGTCTATTACTACTACTACTTAAATGTCTTTGTTTGCCATAGTTGTGTAATGATATTGTTGATTTGAATAGAGTAATGTTACTGTTGATTTGAAAATTTCATCTCTCATTGGGCCATGTGCTCCTGGTAGATTATCTTCTATACATCCATCCATTACAACCTATTAAAGTCCACTGCTGAACATAGGCCTCCCCCATAAGTTGCCTCATAGGGGGATATTGTCATAGTTGCCACGCTTGGCAAGCGGGTTGGCTCCCGCAGTTTATTTTTTTAAATTTTAGTCGTTATTAGGAAGACGCTGCTCTGCCTACCTCTTGATTTGTTTCCCCTCTGTCACCTTTACGATACCCACTGGATGATATGGGGTAGTGGATTCTTACATTCTTGTCTTCGACTTTCATTATCATGTTGTGTCATGCTTTCTTTCAGCTCGTTGTACTTGGCGGCGAAACGAGCCACTCTAATGGAGAAAGGAGCCCTATCAAAGGGAGCAACGAACGAACAGTTTGACACGGAAGTCGATAAGGTGAATAAATTGTTTATTTTAATATCAACTTTATGTTTTACTTCCTTGGACTTAAATTACATCGTAGATAGTCTGTGTGTAAAGCTCTTCTATTTGATGTTAAAGTATAATAAAAATACAGCTTATATATTATGTCCCACGACTACGAAACGGTTTTCTTTCGTGTCCGAGAATTATTGAGCAATTTGTTCGACGAAAAATTTTACAGTCATGCCGGTTTCCTCACGATGTTTTCCTTCACCGGCAAGAACCTAGTAAATCGATACTTAAAATTGCAATTAACAATTTTATTGGTACCTGTGGAAATGTAACTCGGGTTGTTATATTTAATATAGATTTTAAATGTTTATGTAACAATTATCTTAAAGATATCGCCATCCGAAGAACGAATATCAATATTATCCTTCCGTGACAATTGTTCTTGCTGTTCAAATTTCGGCAAAAACGCTATGAGAATGTACTGAAACTAAAGGGTACACTTTTTTATATATTAATATGCTTCTTTATACAGTCCATTGCTGGAAATGAACCTTAGCAGTCGTAGATTTATGGTGTATTTTAGGTCACAGTCCCTGACTGACGCCATATACAGAATGTTACAAAAAGTGTTACCGGCTGATAAATTTTTATTTTTTACGTGTACAGATTGGAACAAAAAGTGTCACCTGTCAGCGACCACATCGCTGTCGTTCAAATTTTAGTAAGATATCAGGATTTACTGACACTAAGATAAAGACACATTTATATATTATACTAATATGAGCCTTTATACTGTCTACTGCTGGACATGTAACTTATTGCAAGCTTAGCAGGTGCATTACCCCGACACCTGTTTGGGTATTAATTTTACTTCTGACGTATACAGGCTGTAACAAAAATATTCAGTTGGTACAAAAAGTGTCCCTTTGTTTTTTTTGTGCTTCTGACGTATACAGACTGGAACAAAAAGTGAAAAATTTAATTTGCTTTTGACGTATATTTGAAACACATCGGAAGTAAGCTGCTATTTTACGCTAGTATTCTGTGTGAGAGTGTTCCTTTCCCGGTGGAGTGGAACCATTCATGCTACAACCATAATACAGCTGCAATAGTGCATATAACTATTGTTCCATTCTGTATATGAGAGAGACCAGGACATGCACAGTATTCCTTAGTCCCTCCTTATTCATAACTCATCCCATCCTTTCCTCTTTAGAGACTCGGCAATTTGTCTAGTGGTAACTCACCTTTATCCCACTCATCCGGAAGACCCTGTCACTCACTTAAACATGAAATGAACGAAGACGAAATTGGATCTACTTGTCTTAACAATAAGGTCGCATTTTATGTGTTTGTGGTTTTTAGTAGTAAGTCGTAATTTCCCATTAGTATAACAGACGATATAAAATCTACTTGCACTTACAATAAGGTTGGTTTTTGTGGGCGTATTGTTGTTTATTGTATTGTAGTTCTGTATTATAGTATTTTCATAAAAAAATTTTCTTAGGCTCATTATTTGTAAAGTCTTTCGTTCCATCGAGCCTTATGGTTAGTTCCACTGCTGGGCTTTTTTCTAAGACTGTTCATACTACTAACCTTGTACTGATAATACTGTCCTCTATTTGAGACCTTTAGATATTTTAGATTTTTTTTTTGTAATTCGCCACCTACGACATCCGCGGGACAATATGGGACGTACCATTAATCTATACACCTATATTATAATATATTATATATTGCCATCCCATCGGACTATTATGAACAATACAGCCATTTTAACCGACTTTTAAAAAATGAGAAGGTCCTCCGTTCGACTATATTTATTTTAATGTGTTACCTCAAAACTTTTTTCTAGGTGAACCGATTTTGATGATTCCTTTTTATTTGGAAGCTGGCGGCTTCTCATGGGGTCCCATATACTGGTCCCCATGGATCAAGATCTGATCAGTAGTTTTTGAGTTATCCTTAATAATGCGTATTTAATTGACTTCGACTACATTGATGATGTTCTAATTTTATTTATATTGAAGTCGGTTGTACAAAATTTTTAATATTACCACTTGCTTAATCGGTTTTTCGTTTCCATCAAAAATTATAATTTTTGTTCGATTGAAACATAATCTACAACACTCCTGGCATTGGTTTCTATCTGTTCATTAAGTTTTATCACAATAGATTCCGACATTGCAGAGATTCGCTCGAACAGACAGACAGACAGACAAAAATCTTAAAAATGGTTTTCGCGTCTTAGTAGTATAAAAATAGCCCCCTTAGCTTTATAGAACCAGTTATTTCTGTATTACATACGGACCCTTCTATTTTACTTACATTCTATCTTTATATGGCAGTCGCATTGCCGTCCGACTAATGCCGTCGACTATGAGAGTGAGAGAATAGAGAGTGCACGTGTGCTTGCGCACACACTCGTGCACTATAGTCCTGTCCTGCGCCGAGGGCTAGTCTCCGTTGAGGCTGGCCGCTGTGACCGAAATTCGGTCTGGAGGACATTATTATTTATATTTATCTTAAACCCTAGATGCTACTTGCGTAAGCCACTTTGGCGGCCTCTCATCTCGGGGATACCTCGTTTAGAGCCGGGGCGGCATCACAGGCAGCTGAACTGAGTAAGTGGCGCAAATATGAGTCTCTGAGAGATGACTATATATTTGTGCCATTTGCTGTAGAGACTGTCGGTCCGTGGGGTCCACGTGCGGTGAACTCTACCCGCGACTGGTCGTTGCTGCTTGTGATAAGAGGGCTAGTTCTTTTCTCGCTCAAAGGCTAAGTATAGCCAGCGTTCTTGGCACGATACCACGCGTGTGGCAGTAGGCCTGTATGATAATTAAGTTATTAGGTTTTTTTTATTATTGTTTTTTTTTTAAATATAGTTTTTTTAAATATTGAGTAATATGTGTGATATCTGGTGTTTTAAATGGTAAATGCCAGAAGATTTCTCATGGCTTCTGTTAGATTGCGATATAACTGTCTCTTTCACGCCCAGTGTAAAATATTTCTCTTACGCTAAACAACCATATACTACAAAATATATCGGTCAACTTGGATACATATATTTGCGAATGATTGCAGCCTGAATCAACTTCGAACAATATAATAGAACTGATGCAAATATCCAAACCTAAATACGACTCGTCCGTTGCACTAAATGATATTGCCTGTGACAAATGTTCGACAAACACGCGATCTAGCCAATGTTTAGACGAGCCTTGCGCATTTTCGCCAAACGTTGACAGTATGAGATCCATCGCGAACAGTAACAAGGAAAGTTTGCCGAACACAATCGGGTCCGTGCGGAACGTGTTGGGTGACTTACAAACGAACGATGACGTAGTTGCCAGTACAAGTTTTGACACAAACAATTGTGCAGAATGTTTGGAGAATAATTATTGGACGAAATCCGTTGTGGATGAGAAAAAGAAAATGGATAAGGGTTAGTTTCTTTCTTTGAGCTTACTTCGTAAAAAGGCCGTCCATGGTTATGATAGACTCCTTACTATTTCTCTTTGTTGCTCTCTTTCTGAGCTTGTAAAGTAAACTAATACGTGATAGTGCCATCATCATCATCATTACAGCCCTTCACAAGGCCACTGCTGAACATAGGCCTCCCCCAAAGAATGCCACAAAGCACGGTCCTGAGCCACCTGCATCCATCGACTTCCTGCATATCTTACCAGGTCGTCACTCCATCTAGTGGGGGGACGCCCTACACTTCGCCTGCCGGTACGAGGCTGCCACTCGAGAACCTTTCTTCCCCATCGGTTGTCGGTTCTTCGAGCTATATGGCCGGCCCATTGCCACTTCAGCTTACTAATCCGTTGGGCTATGTCGGTCACTCTGGTTCTACTGCGGATATCCTCATTTCTGAGTTTATCACGCAGAGAAACTCCGAGCATAGCCCTCTCCATAGCTCGCTGAGCGACCTTGAGCTTCCTCATCCGGCCAGCAGTGAAGGACCACGTCTCAGTTCCGTATGTCATCATTGGCAACACGCACTGGGTGTACAGTCTCGTTTTCAAGTTTTGAGGTATACCTGACGAGAAGATGTGCCGTAATTTCCCGAACGCTGCCCAACCGAGTTGAATCCGTCGATTGACCTCTCGGTCGAAGTTGAACTTACCTAGTCGGACTATTTGTCCCAGGTAAACATACTCGTCAACAACTTCGAGCTTAGTGTTCCCAACAAATACCGGCATAGGTGTGACATGGACATTAAACATGATCTTTGTTTTGTCCATGTTCATCTTAAGACCTATCCGTTGGGAAACACTATTGAGGTCATTGAGCATAGTGCTTAGGTCCTCCAGCGATTCTGCCATAAGGACTATATCGTCGGCAAATCGTAAAGAGTTTCGGGGATATGACGTCACCCTGTCTTACACCTCTCTGCAATTGGATAGGTTTCGTACTCTGGTTCTGTACTCGGATAGCCATCGTAGCCCTACTGTACAAGCACTTCAACACTTCGATATACCGACAGTCAACTTGGCATCGCTGAAGGGACTGCAACACCGCCCAAATTTCGACGGAATCAAAGGCTTTCTCATAGTCCACATACGCCAGACATAGTGGCAAATTGTACTCCTCGGACTTCTGTACAATTTGCCGAAGGGTATGTGGTCTATGGTGCTAAAGCCTTTTCGGAAACCGGCTTGTTCGGGAGGCTGGAAGTCGTCAAGTCTGCGCGCGAGACGATTCGTAATGACTCTCGAAAACAGCACGTAGACGCAGCTCAGAAGGGAAATCGGTCTGTAATTCTTCAAGAGAGCGTTGTCGCCTTTCTTGAAGAACAAGACCACCGCACTTCTGCTCCACGCCTCTGGTGTAATACCACCATGGAGGACGGAATTAAAGAGCTTCTGAAGGACTTCAAGTACCGGTTTTCCACCCGCTTTCAGAAGTTCCGCTGTAATTCCCTCCTCGCCTGCGGCCTTGCCGTTTTTAAGGTGCTGGAGAGCCATTGTAATCTCGCTCAGACTGACGTCCGGGATATCATCGGAATAATGTCGAGACTCGCTCTTGGATCGTTACTCACACTTGCGTGCGGCTCCAACGATGATGTGTACAGCTGCCCATAGAACCTCTCAATCTCACTCAAAATCTCAGGTGCCCCGGAAACGATGCTGCCACATTCGGTCTTCAGCTTTGACAGTTGGCTCTTTCTGGCAGACAGATCTCTGGAAAAGACTTTGGAGCCTTGGTTCCGCTCGATCGCTTCTTCAATACGAGCTGTATTGAAGTTGCGTAAGTCCCGCCGCATACATTTGGAGATCTGTCTGTTCAGATGCCTGTATGCTGTCAAATCTGTTGAAGAATGTAGCTTCATCTCCCGTCTAACAGCCATGAGATTAAGAGTGTGATCGGAGAGTTTTTGTGTTCTTCTGCGGCGGGTCTTGCAGAACTTAGCTCCGACCGCATGGACAGTTTCCACGAGCTTGTCATTCAAATCATCCACTTCATTGCAGTCTTGTAGGCACTGAAAACGGTTTTGTAACTCGAGCTGAAAGGTTTCGGGATTAGAGCACGAGGGGGACGGAGCGTTGACTTCATTAGACGAGACCTCTCCAACTTAACGTTTAGGTTCAGTGTGCCTCTAACCATTCGGTGATCGCTGCTGGTTTTCACCCTCGCGATCACTGAGACATCACTGAACAGTTGTCGTCTGGTCGTCATAATGAAGTCAATCTCATTTTTGTCGAACCGTCGGGGCTCGACCAGGTCCACTTCCTGTGGGGCCGCTTCTGGAAGAAAGAGTTCATCATAAAGACTCCCTCTTTCTCCATGAAGTCGGCCAGCTGCTGGCCCCTTGGGTTCCGTTGCCCTATTCCAAATTTCCCCACTTTCAGCTCACCGTTCTCTCTTGTGCCTAGTTTTGCATTGAAGTCTCCCATTAACACCGTATATTGGGTTTTGGAGGAATGCATGGCTCTAGAGATATCCTCATACATTTCCTCCACCTCCTGATTGGGGTGTGCCGAGGTTGGTGCGTAAACCTGTATGACCTTCAGTTAATACCGTTTGGTGATTCTGAGTATAAAGTACGCAACCCTCGTCGACACACTCAATCTTTACAACGTTGTTAACGAGAGACTTGTGGACGATAAATCCGACACCTCCTTGGGACAGATGGTCGCCCTCCCGGTAATAGAGCAAGTTGCCGGATTCGAGGATTACCGTGTCCTCCCCCTCTCTTCGGACTTCGGATAATCCTATAATATGCCAGCGTAACTTGTCTATCTCTTCTTCCAGCTCCACAATCTTCTCGTCAGTTCTCAGGGTGCGTGCGTTGTATGTTGCCAGGTCGAGTCGTCGTAGGTGGCAACCGAACCTCCACCGGAGATTCTTAGCACCCCCTGCCCCGCCGTTACCATGGTCGCCACCGTAGCCAGGAATAGCGGGGCCGCCGAGGACTGTGGGCCGTCTCTTCGTAACTTTCATCATGGGGGGTATATTGCCATAGTTGCCACGCTTGGCGAGCGGGTTGGCAACCGCAGTTTTTTATTGTATTTTGCCGTTACCAGGAAGATGCTGCTGCCCATCTCCTGCCTGTTTCCCTTTGTCGCCTTTTACGACACCCACGGGAAGATATGGGGTAGTGGATATTCTTAACCGCCACTACACGGTCAATAGTGCCATGCTGCAACTATATTAGTAGTATAATTGTAGCACGAATGGGTCGGCTCGACCGGGGAAGGATGACGCGCTCACAGAATACCAGCCTAAAATAGCAGCTTAACACTGCTGTGTTTCGTATGGCGAGTGTAGAGAACCGGAGACCCTTTTTCTGAAAACGAGGCATTCGATCTTAGTCCTCACGGATGACAACGCATTTTAATACGTAATCGAGGATAGATGTGGATATCTATGGGCCACAGCAACCACTTACCATCAGGTGGACTGTGTGCTCCTTTGTTACCCTTATCTTATAACAAAAACTGTGCAAAGAAACATCTCGCGTGATTCTTCGTCTTCCATATGGATTGGTGATCGTAATACCTGATGTTCATCAACATCATCAATCACCATTCTGGGTATTTACCATTGGGTAGAAATAAAAACCGTGTAATAGCGGTGTAAGAATATAGTTGATATTCAATATCGCATCGTGAATGTCGTAAGAAGCGACAGTGTAGGGATGGGCAAGTGATAAAAATATATCTATATATCGTATCGATATTTTTAAACAGTATCGATAAATATCGATATATCATCATGTTTTGCATGACGTACTAGAATATGGCCCAAAATTTTCTTACTGACGGTTGGATGACGAAAAAAAAAACGACAACAGCACATGAGTGCTTTTGTAGCTGCTTTATCGAAATTTGAACGAATTCGATACTCTAAAATAAATATCGATATGTCGGATATAAAAATATCGACAATATATATATATATATATATATATATATATATCAATAATTTTATGAGAAAATATCGATATTTTTTACCCAAGCCTACGACAATAAATAATACTAAAAACTTGAAAAAGAATGAAGGAAAAAATTCAGTACATTAAAAGTCAAACATCTTCCCAGATTCAAATCCAGGGAGTAGAAAGAAACACACGATGTTTCGCAGTGATTCATCGCTTCTATCATTTCACAAGTTATCGTCAAATAGGGATGAAATAATCGATGAAGATAAGAAATGTATATCTGATAATCCCCCAAAACGCTTAACGGATCCACAACAACGCCAATCGTCTGGCATCAAAATAAACGATACCGATGAATCGAATATAAAATCGAATTATGACGAAATCGATGACAATATAATCGAGAGAGAACTAAACTTTGGACGATAAATGTGACAGTTTAGAGTTGGCGAAGTTAACAGACAACGAAAGAGAAGATCGGAGCCTGCGAGAAATGCAGCAGTTGATAATAATACAACTGTATAAAATTTTAAGAATACTCGAAAAGGAGAAGAAGGACTTAACTTGAGAGTGAGAAATTAAAATTTTGAAGTATTTAGAGGCAGACATCCTCCGTCGAGGGCGTTTAGTCTATACAAACAAATTTCTCTGTTTTCTCTTTAGATAATGACACTAGTAATCGTGTAGTGGCGGTATAAGAATATCCACTACCCCATATCATCCCGTGGGTGTAGTGAGAGGCGACAGAGTGGAAATGAAACAGGAGATGGGCAGCAGCATCTTCCTGATAACACCTGCATTGAAATAAAGTGAAAAAACTGCGGTTGCCAATCCGCCTGCCAAGCGTGGCACCTATGGCAAATATCCCCCTATGATGTAATCTATGGGGGAGGCCTATATTCAGCAGTGGGCCTTTATAGGCTGTTATGAGTGGATGTATAGAAGATAATCTACCAGGAGCACATGACCCACTGAGAGGTGAAATTTTCAAATCAACAGTAACATTACAACTACGGCAAATATTTCCCCTATGAGGCAATCTATGGGGAGGCCTATGTCCTTAAGTGGACTCTCATAGGCTGTAATGGATGGAACGGTAGGAATGACTTTATAGGAAACATTTTTTACAATACAATCTGTCGTTATACTAGCTGGCCAGGCAGACGTTGTTCTGCCCTTTCCTACGACCCTTCCCATAAAAAAAAATCTTAAATTCGCAATAAAAAAATATTGAAGGTCATTTATTGGGATAAAAGTATCCTATTTCTCAAGTTGGACCAAACTGAACACAGTGTGCAAAATTTCATTGAAATCAGTTCAATAGTTTAGGAGTTCATCGCGCAAAAACAATGTGATACGTAATTTTTATATATAAAGATAGTAGCAGAAAGACTTGCTGATATGAGTTTACTGCGGCGTTTACTCTCTTTTCTTCCCATTCCTACCAAGATTATGTTAGCACTATCTTTACTCCTGTCTATTCTCGATTATGCGGGCGCAAGCTATTTTAATTTTAACTGAAGATCAATTAAACAAACTTGAGCGTATTCAAAATTTAGCTATTAGGTTCATATTTGACTTGCGCAAATATGACCATGTCTCCGAATTTTGTTTAAAGCTCAAGTTCACCGGAATCTACAAATTGTTTCTCTTGTGTACTGTGTATTATTCAATGCAATGACACCTAGCTATCTCAAGGAAAATTTTAAGTTTCTTGGTCATGACAGACCGGATAGAGTTCTACGGTCAGCCGGAGAACTTATTCTCGCGCCACATTCTTATCGAACTAAATACTTTAAGAATTCCTTCACAGTCAAGACTATCTGCTTATGGAATGATCTTCCTCCGCAAATTCGACGAGCCAATAAAAATTATAAGACTGACGTCAAAAATCACTACCTACCTAATAGTGCAATAACCACTGGTCATCATATGCTACCTTTATTTTATGTATCCTGTCTGTATTTATATATGTAATTTTTTGTATATTTGTCTATCATATTTTCGGAACGAAGTTCCTATCGAACGAAGCACCAATGTTTTAGTTATCTTTATTGTAGTAAAAAAAAAGTGATTTAGTCTATATTACAGCTATGTTTGTTGTATTTATTGTATATTTAAAATAATTATGTTATAGAAACTTTGTGATAAAGGACGAGTAATTTAGTTTAGAGCCCGTCCCTATCAATGAGTAAGGTTGTAGCATTTTGATTAATGGTGGTTGTTGTGGGGTGCACAAAGTGCATCGATTTATTTTAAAACAGCACGTTTGAATACACTCGGTGAAATATATTTACGTAAAAATAAAAAAATAAAACATGCGTGAGTGTCGTGGAACACTCGATTGGAAAGTTCCTTTCATAGTATATAATTATTAATAAACGTATTATATTATTGATTAACAAATACAAATAAATAAATTGCTAGCGTCTATTAAAATGAAGCGTCATTTAAAATAATATTTCGTTTCGTTTTACAGCTGCTGCAGTCCGTGGACGAAGACATCAGTATAAGCGGTGAACACAAAACTCCGTCGCGACAGGTGAGAGTATACGAGTAGATTATAAATATTTATTTGATATATTGTGATGTTTTAACGGTACATGGTAGAGGCAAAGACTTCTATATATATATATATATATATATATATAGGTTGGCAATTCAGGTGATTTGATTTTATTTCATTTACCTGAAATACTTAACTTTTTATCTACTTCAAATAACGTTGACAAAGTGCGCACATAAATAATGACAGCGTTTTTTTTTAATCATATTAAACAAAATCAGTGTTAGGTAGTAGAAAACAACGTTCCCGGTTCACAAAACAAGGAACTAGTGTTCTCGTCTGCTCGCACGTCACGTCAGTCGACAAAAATATACAAAATTTGATCTCCTTTAAGTTCAAAAATTTTGTTAAAAAAAAGTTTGTACAAATAAAAAGGGTTATTATAAAATTTATGATGATTGATTGGATGATAATAACCCCCCTGGGAAATGATGATCCCTACCAAGCTATTTCTAATTTGTTTTGTGTTGTTAATTGTGTAACGTACATGATTTTAAGCTGTTTTTTTTTCTAAAACTCGCGCTGGATTTCTTGCTGGTTCTTCCCAGGACAGAGGTTTTTTTCCGAACCAGTGGTAAATTAAACAAGAGAGTATTATTCAATAAGTATTATTTATAATCCACTACCTGTTACCCGGCGCGTTGCTTCCGCGGAAGAAATAATTGTGAAAATATCGTTTTAAATTTGGAAGAGTTATATTGTTTAATTAGGAAATTAAGAATTATAATACATTCATTGAAGTTGAATGATATATAACTATCAAATAAATTTGTCGGTACGATACGTGCGCCACCTACTGTAAGTTAATTGTACTATGCCTGTAACAACAAAGTTTTACCGCTATCTGATGAACTGTATAGCAGTGCATAAAATACGAACCAACAAATATTATTTATATATTAGATTTTGAATAAAAAAATTCTGTTTCACTAAAGGAGTTACGGAGAATTGAGCGCGACTTAGTGCGCGCAATGTATTAAGGCGGCAGAGCTCGTGTAATATACATAGAAGTCTTTGAATAGGGGTAAGATAGTGTGCGTGTTTAAAAATTTCCATGTAGTAATGCTGCAGCTACATTAGTAGTATAGTTGTAGCAGGAATGGGTTGGCTCGACCGGGGAAGGACCACGCTCTCACAGAATACCAGCGTAAAATAACAGCTTAACGCTGCTGTGTTTCGTATGGTGAGTGTAGAAAATCGGAGACTCTTTTTACTGGAAACGAGGCATTCCATCTTAGTCCTCACAGGTGACAACGTATCTACATTTTGATTCTTTATTGTGGATAGATGTAGATGTCTATGGGCCACAGCTTCCACTTACCATCGGGTGGACGGTGTGCTCGTTTGTCTCCCATATTCTATAAAAATAATATAATGAAAAAATATATAGAAACATAGCAGTGGTAGGCACAAATTATATCGTAAAAAATATACCCTCTAGTGACTTTATCCAGGGACAAAACAGGAATACACATTTATGGACTCGGCAACAACAGCAGACAGACTAAACGAGATGGCTAATGGTTAACTCTTTAATCTGCTTTGACGGCTCCGTGGCCTAGTAGCTTAGCAATGAGTTGCAGCCTTAAAGGCCGCGAGTTAGAATCCCGCACGGAACAAATATTTGTATGGCCTACAAATGATTATAATAGAATAGAATGATTTTTTATTCAATATTGATTATTACATAATACTTATTGAAAGTCATTTTTTAGTTACCACTGGTTCGGAAAATACCTCTGTCTTGGGAAGAACCAGCAAGAAACCAATAAATGAATTACTGATACTGTGGAGTCTAGTAACTGGCATTACAAGCTTATGTTTGTTCCTAGTGTTTAAAGTATGAACATCCTTATTCTTATTAAAGCTATTTATGTTTTTATGTACATGCATTACATTTTCATAAATATATTGCGATGCCAAAGTTAATATGTTCATTTCTTTAAATGTTTCTCTGAGGGACTCTTTAGAATTTAGGTTATAAATCGCCCGTACGGCTCTCTTTTGCAAAAGAAATATAGCTTCAATATCAGTCGTATTACCCCATAGCAAAATTCCATAATATAATTAATAGAATCAGGCGTTACTTTGCGGAAATCCATTCTATAAAAGCTTTTAGAAAAAGTTTACTTCGCAAATATCCGCGTTATAAAATAAATGATGTGTCTTACCTAGTATGACGAGCACCTCCCGCCCTCCCTCAATTGCGTGCACTATCCCCGTCACCACTAATCCCAGCACCGCTACTCCCAACACCACTACACTAGGCAAGACACACCACTGACAATAATACGACACGTGTTTCGCCTCTACACGAGGCATCCTCAGGTGATATAGACTCTACGGTGGCTAACCGCTAAGTGAGCGGCGAGCCAAAACAAGTGCCTTTTATACAGACCGATGATGCAACCGCTCTCTACCTAAGGAGCGAGCGACTGCGTCATGCGATAAAACATGCGACCAATCACCGCTGGACTTATTTGTCCAGCGTAGTATAATAAATAAGTAAAAAAAAAAAAATTTTTTCTAAAAGCTTTTATAAAATTCCATAAGACATTACGCTATGAAAGTAACTAAAATACACTAACCTAGCCGTGTCAACATCTGTGAGACTTCTAATCTTTCTTACAGCATATGCTGCAGAACTAAGTCTGCTTGCTAATTTAGATATATGGGGGCCCCATTGAAGTTTCGCATCAATATTAATACCAAGAAAAACAGCGGTATCCACAAGACTCAACTCCTCCCTATTTAAGATTGTTCCGGGTCTGGGTAAAAAATGTAAACTACCCTCGCGATACTGGAGTAAAACCTAGTGTGGATGTTACATTATTTAAAAAGAAACTGCACTTTACGCTACAGGCATAATGTATTAATTAATTACAGGTATCACCTAACCCCATACTGGTATCGGCGTCACCGCACACTCGGGCCTCATTTGCTTCCCCCGAGCTGAGGAATGGGGATGTGTTCGCGAGGCAAGACGAACAAGAGAAACTTCTCAAATGAGCCATCACCTTGAGCAACATTGCTCCGAAAAATCAGCTGCATGTGTTATAGCTTTAGTTGTATACGTAGCAAGGTTGCTATTTTGAATCAAACATACGTAACGTTTGCGAAAGTATAACGTCTTTCGAACGGATTTTATTATGAAACGTTAGTCTTTTTTTCAACGCATGCATAAACAGTTTTTTTTCTTTAATATAGAACTCATTAAAATACAGAATAAAAATGATAATTAAATATGCATGACTGCAATAATGTAATATACCATCAATTTTAAAGCATAATCAGTATCAGTATTATTAAATAAAACTATAAAAGATCCATCTAAAAAAACGTCATTTTACCAAGATCCGTTAGTTTACGCATGTAAATACTTTATTATTTTTATTCCTTGCATGCCTTTAAAACATGCCAAATGTCATGTAATGATTGTGTACTGATATCGCAATACCAGTCGTCCATTATTGTTACTGGCAACATTATCGCGTATTAAAATGTTGCCACATTCATAATTTACTGTTAAATATGTCCTTAAGATACTAGTTGTTGTCTTTATAGTACTTAAGCACAACGAAACAGTTAGAATGAGACTGCACTGTTATTTAGTATAGTTTGCACTTTATATTGTTAAGAAAGGGTTCAAAAGTTTATGTCGCAGGCCGTTGGTTCAATCAGTCGGTTAATTAAGCGGCTAGTCGTTTAAAACCTCATCATTCTATTAAATGCTTCGAGGAAGCTTAACCTACTCCTCTAACATTATGCATAACAAAAGGGGGGGGGGCAATATATTAGATACATTTTTAACTAAAAGAAAAGCTTAATAAGGGGCTAGTTTTGTAGGCAAAATTATTTTACTGTTTTTCATATACGGTGAAATATTTCACAAAGTACTATTTATTCTTAGTAAAATTACATTAGCTGTTGACGCCATCTTATGAAAAGACAGTTAACGCCGCAGTAGTGTATTATCGAAAGAGTTGACTTTAGCCACAATTTTATTTGTAATTACGATTTAAGGCGTTCAATTAACTGTCTGCGTTTAACTAAAAACATGCCGTTTAATTAACCAGCTAATTTAACCATCGGCCTGCGACACGTACCAGTGTGATAGGCCTTTGTACAAAATTCCTATGAAAAATAAATATCCAAAAAACAAACGATCTCTCTTTCTTAGGTTATTTCTACAAAAATGCGTAGTTATGATTTTTATGTATCGGACTGATTTGATTTAATTAGAATAATAATTACGAGGGTGGATTGAAAAGTACTCGGCCTAACACAGATCCATTCAATTCTAAAAATCAAATCTACCCACATTATTTAGTTCAGTTCAGACTAGTTCATTGTGTGAAGTTCGAAACGTGTGCGATAATTAGTTGTGATTTTATAAATTTATTAACAAAGTAATCGGACATAATTTCCGCGAATGGAGCAAATCGAGCAGCGTGGCGTCATTAAGTACCTCCATAAGAAGGGGCTATCGTCAAAAGCCATCCATGATGACATGGTCAGTACATTAGGCGATTGTGCTCTGTCATATTCATCCGTCAAAAAATGGATAGCAGAATTTAAGCGTGGTAGAGAGAGTGTGAAAGATGAACCCCGCTCTGGAAGGCCTTCGACGTCAACTACTGACTAAAATATTAAAAAAGTACTTGATTTAATAATGGGAGACCGCAGATTAAAAATTAGAGAGATAGCCGAGATTATAGGCATCTCTTATGAACGAACTCAAAACATCATTGTCAACGAGTTGGATTTCCACAAGGTGTCTGCGAGGTGGGTTCCGCGACTGCTTTTAGTTGAACAAAAAAGGACGCGATTGACTATTTCACGCGACTATTTGGAGTTATTTGAAGCCGATGCAGATGATTTTTTGAATCGTTTTGTTACTATGGACGAAACATGGGTTCATTACTGTACACCGGAAACAAAACAACAATCAAAACAGTGGAGAAGACCTGGTTCACCACCCCCTAAAAAGGCTAAGTCGATTTTGTCGGCAAATAAGGTGATGGCTTCAGTATTCTGGGACTCGAAAGGTGTGATTATGATTGATTATTTTGAAAGGGGTCAGAATATAAACTCTGATTACTACTGCACCTTACTACGTCGTTTACGAGAGGAAATAAAAGAAAAACGTCGAGGAATGCTAAGAAGAAAAGTCCTGTTTCATCAAGATAACGCCCGTGTTCACACGTCAGTACAGTCAATGGCTGAAATTCACAACTGTGGCTTTGAACTGTTACCGCATCCGCCGTATTCACCTGATCTGGCACCATCAGACTTCTTTCTGTTCCCTAACCTAAAAAAGCACTTGGGAGGTCAAAGATTTTCGACAAACGACGAGGTCAAAGCAGCTGTAGACGCATATTTTGACTCTAAGGAAGAATCATTTTTTTTCAACGGTCTAAATGCTTGGAAGGGGAGGTGGCAAAAGTGTATTGAACGTGATGGTGATTATGTAGAAAAATAAAAATATAACTGATTTAGTATTTGTTTATTAGGCCGAGTACTTTTCAATCCACCCTCGTAGTAATCTGTCTTCACGACTGTTATCCTTTTTGGGGTGGAAATTAGGACCCAAAAACGTTAATATATAAAGGTCAGAAAATGTCCCGAAATTCTAAAATAATGCTGCCAGGATTTGTAAACAATAAAAATCTCTTGTGTTTTCCTTGACTCTATGTCAACTTTACTAGAAATTCTCTTATAATCTTTTTGTGACCTGGCAACTCCGGTCAGTATAACAACAATATTTTAATTATCTATTTTTATTAAGACTTTGTATTCAAACTTGGACGTTCAAAATTCAAATCGCCGCATAACCTAAAAGGAATGGCAGTCGAATTGGCCATATAAAAATATAAGGGCAACAGTCGAAAGCAGTAGTCTGATATATTAAATTAGTTGATATTCAAGTTTTTTTTTATTATTACAATGTAAAACAAAATAAAAAATTATTATTTGGCGCCAACTGTCATACTTTCCCGCCTTTTTAATGGTCAATGATTTTTTTTGCAGCTCTCGATGTTTTTATAATCTTTACCCATAAGTCAGTGATAAAATGAGGCTTGTTTTTGTTATTGTATACAACATAGGTGCTGTCTTCATATTTCGAAATACTTCAACACAAGTACATAAACTACCACAAAGATAGAATTAGCTAAAAGTTGTTATTGCATAATATCTGCTTGTCAAAAACTCGATGAAATGATACTAGTCCCTTTAGATAGTAATTTTTATGATAGTTTTATTTTTTAATTTATGATTTAGAAAGTTAATTATATTATGTATAATTTCCACTTTTTACGATATGCGATAGTTTTTAATTTTTTTCTTTACCCAAACAGTATTTAGAGATATGATTCGGCCTATGTAAAAATCTAATTAATTAAGAAGAGAAATTGTATAGTTAGTAACAATGTACAACGACAATCATTTATTTTCTGCAAATGGTATGCATAGTCCTTCCAAAATATTGGCTGCAAATGAAAACAGCCTGTATACAGTTCAGAAATGTGTGACTAAATACTAGATATATTTCGTATGGATATTTTTCGTATTTACAATTTTATATCCAAAGAATGTTTCCATCCGGTATGGAAAGATGATATCAAATTTTGTTACGGTTCTTGTTCATTAAGGTTTTTATAAAAGTTCCATTTTCCAAAATCTGGTACCGGAAAAGGATCGATAAAGATATCGGTTTTTTGGAAGATTCGGTGTCGTTGTAGCTTAGCTTTACTTTTAAATCATTACGTGATGTTCTTGCACCGGATAAAATCATTTTGTATTTGTCCGTAAAATCATACATATTGGAATTTGTTTTACTCGTGTCCCGCTGTAGTAAAAGTTCAGGTTCTAGCTTGTATCAGAACCGCAAAATCCGTTTCCTTACCGACGTTTTTGAACCTGTTAAATCCTTGATTTCTCTTTGTATTATATACCAAATAATTTCTGTGAATTACAATATTTCCTTCCAAATATGTTTGTAGAAATGTCAATTGAAATACTTTTATATGTTAACAAACTTCTTATTTTTATATTTAAAAAGAAATTGTTAAATCTCATTCAATACTGTTACTAATTAAGGTTACTAATTAAATAGGAGGGGGGTGGGGGTAATTTTCAGGGTTGGCAGACTTAGCGTACGGGTTGGCAACCGCAGTTTCATATAATTTGAAGTTGTTATCAGGAAGATGCTGCTGCTCATCTCCTGTTTCTATTTCCGTCTGTCGTCTATAAGGACAGCGACCGGATGATATGAGATTGTGTATTTTCTTATTTCTTATTCGCCACTAATACACACGCCATAATTCGTTTGTAAAACTACGAAAAGATTAATACTTGCGTCAACTTCTCAATTTATTTGAAATTGCATAGTTACATGATATAATTATAACATTTCACAAAAAGTAAAAACCGACTTGAAATTGCTAACAAAGAAGTTATTTATTTACCCTTAGGGGATGAAATTTTTTCTCCAAATTTATATGAGACCACCCTTTAAGTATAACATATTTAATAAAAGAAGAATCATCAAAATTATTTCACAATCTGCGAAGATATCGCGTAACATACATACAAAATAGACATACACTCGAATTGAGAACCTCCTCCTATTTGAAGTTGGTTGAAAATTGTAAATATGAAAAATATTCATGCTACGGTTCATTTGTAATGTTGTCCTATTCACCCATAAAATTGTGTCAAATTTTCATAATTCAATTTTAAATTAAAGAAGTATACAAATAAAAAATGTTGCTGTACATTCGAACAATTTTGAATATAATATAAGAACCTTTTAGCCCGTCTGAGTTATGTAGTCTAATAGCCAAATATTCAAAAGCTACTCAATTTTAAGATGTCCTTAAGTCTTGTGGTGTCGCAGTCACTTTGACTTAAAGTGATAGAGACAGCACGAGACTCGACGGCGTCTTAAAATTAAGTAGAGTTTGAGTGTTCGCCCATATCTCTCATAAATCTTCCATAAATCGACCAGTGTAAATAAAATCAAGTATAAAAATCTTCGTTACTATGAATACCACATAATAGGATTTGTTAATTTTATAGCAGTTCAGTGGATAGCAGTGTAGGTTAACGAATTTAATAAAGTATAACAATCAAAGAAATATATTGGATTTGGATTTTGTAAAAATTAAAACTACCTACATAAATATATGCCATATATTATATACATTGTCAGAAAATGATGCTGTTTTAAGGTGTTGTGCCTGTCGCTATTTTTCTATAAAATTATATTCGAAGGAAATGTTTATGTAATAAATTTACGTCGGAAAATCATAAATGCTTAAACGTCAGCCTTAAACATTGTCAGGCATTTCATAAAATCAAAATGTCACGAATAAAATATTTTGAATTAATAAAAAATATTGGGATATAATAATAATTAGATAATGAGGGCATCCACGACTTTTTCTGCCACCAGGGTGGCGCCACTTTACAATGAGATAAAATATTTGACAGGTTTCTAAGCGGGTAAGATAATTTCTTAGGAAAATGTAAATGATGTTTCTTTCAGTATTATTAGCTATATTTTATATTAATTAGATTAGAAATGAAAAATGCAAACTATGAATATAACTAAAAGTAGCAAAATTAAAAGAAAAAAATAAAGATCAAACCACTGAGACATTATTTTGTGTATTAATATAATACTCTAGAAAGAAACTGATAAACTTTTATTTAAAACTAACTTCTTAATTAAGGCGCAGGTTGAGCAAAATGTCGCGCTAGTCGTTATTTGTGTGGTTTTTAGAAGCTATCTACTTTTTATTTAAAAGATATATGAACAAATAAAAAACACATTATATTTCTACATAATCTTGATTCCATAAAAGCTATATCCAATTTTTTTTAAAACGAATAAATATTAATATAATCTCCTTACAACGAAACCACATAAATGTGAAATTATTATTGATAACATGGATCTCCTCGTAAAGTAAGTATTATTTTATTTTGCGATTTACACCAATGGATAGACAATTTATTAATAAACATTTCTATAGTAAATTTTTTTTCAAAAGACCAAAATTTGATTTTATTAAGAAATTATTTTAAAATCTGGGCATATTCACTGCTCACGGGCTTGCTAGAGTCAGTGAGCCCTGAGCTCTTCGACGCGAAGCCCGTGTCGTTAGAGCGTCGACCAGCGCCGCATACACTCACGTAATATCAGTCGATAAATAATATTACTTATTAGGTTATTTATAGGTAGTATTATTTGTTTGTTTTGGGTATAATTTTTCGTATTAGTTATACATATATTTGTTGTGTTTTTTACTGCGCGATGAAGCTTTTTGCGTGTATTTTCTTTGAAGTAAATGCAAATAAAAAAATGAAGCACCATTGGCATGTAAGGTTCGAATCCATAATTAAAATTTCGATAAATATTATAATTTACACTATAAAAGGCTAATTCAACCCAACCACAATATCTTATTACGTACAGTACTGCCTCGTTGGTCTAGTGGTTGTAGTAGTGCGACTGCTGATCATTAGGTCCCGGGTTCGAATCCTGGGTCGGGCCCTGTCAGTTATGAGTTTTTCATTTATGTTCTAAGTTATAATTAGTATTACTAAGTTATAGTTTTTTGCTAAAATATAGTATATTATTTATTGCTTGTTTTTTCTTCTTTTTCAAAAAATAATTGAGTACATAAGGTGTTCTATACTTATAATTCGGTAAAAAGTATCTAAGTAGGTACTAATATACCTACTTTTTACTACTAAAAATTTTTAAAACTAAATTTAACTAAAAAGACTAAACTGACCATTTATTTTTTAACTCAAAACAGGACATGGGTTTATTTATACTCTAAAAACTATAACTTTATACAATTAGTGTTCACTGTAAAATTATATTCGGTATAGACGGTAATTATTAAATGCAACATATTTTTCTTAATTATTAATTACATTTGTCAGTGGATTAAATTTTCTTTAATAAAGTTGGTGTTGATTTTAAATAAAAATAAAATTCTGCTCAAGTTTTTTTATTGTTATCTTTGTTAACAACATCGCCTTTAGAACTCTGGAACCGTAAGTGTTTCTTTCAGACGTCCACAATTTATTCAAAATAAAAAAAATACTCTTTCTACCGGAGCATTCGTAGCAGGTAGACATAAAATATATTCGATTAAAAAAAATTATGTTGAAGATTGTTGACTTTGAATACTTCCATCCAACGAGTTACGGGACAATTTTGTGTCCCGGAGCTTTGTTTGGGGACAATGGGACAGGTGACCGAGAAAAGGGACAGTCCCGTTCAAAACGGGACGTGTGGTCACTTTAGCTATAACCCGGCGACGGCTACGTGGGGCAGTGGCTTAGCAATTAGTTGTTGCGCTGGGGGCCGCGGGTTCGAATCCCGCACGGAACAAGTATTTGTATGGCTTACAAATAATTGTTCCGGGTCTGGATGTTTGTCCTTGTGCAATTTATGTTTGTAAACTGCCTCCACGACACAGGAGAAAATCCTAGTGTGGGGGTAACGTTTTATTACAATTGAAATTGAAAGATTGAACCCTTATACTTCTTGTTGATTTTTGTATTAGTACTCGTAGTTAGGTATATTACTTTTCAATACGTGACACGTAAAAATTAACAATAATCAAAAACACATCTACGAAACATCCTATTTATTTATTTATTCTTTCTTGCACCAAATATTTGTACAAAAGGCGAGCTATATATTTATTTACCTATAGTGAATAGGTATCTTTTAAACTCACAATTTTCAATGCTTCATTTTTAATATATAATTAATTATAAAATTTCATAATTAGATAATATATGAAAATACATAATTCTAATATAATGCAACTAATATACCGAATAAAAAAATGAAAATACATTTATCGTTGTACGCTGTGTGTATTTCCATAAATTAGTTCATTGATGTTGAAAAAATAATACTACGTTCGTACCTACAATAGGTGGTGGCGTCGTACATATTTCAAATAAGCAATATATTGAGGCGAGCGGCGTGCCGCCGGCAAAATGCTCAAGGTCGTTCGCATGGAGTAGCCCCTTAAGGCGCAGGTTGAGCAAAATGTCGCGCCAATCGTTATTTGGGCAGTTTTTAGAAGCTATCTACTTTTTATTTAAAAGATATATCAACAAATAAAAAACACATTATATTTCTACATAATCTTGATTCCATAAAAGCTATATCCAATTTTTTTTTAAAGGAATAAATATTAATATAATCTCCTTACAACGAAACCACATAAATGTGAAATTATTATTGATAACATGCATCTCCTCGTAAAGTAAGTATTATTTTATTTTGCGATTTACACCAATGGATAGGCAATTTATTAATGAACATTTCTATAGTAAATTTTTTTTCAAAAGACCAATATTTGATTTTATTAAGAAATTATTTTAAAATCTGGGCATATTTACTGCTCACGGGCTTGGTGAAGTCAGTGAGCGCTGAGCTCTTCGACGAGAAGCCCGTGTCGTTAGAGCGTCGACCAACGCATACGCCATGTCATATGAGTCGATAATATTATTACTTATTAGGTTATTTATAGGTAGTATTATTTGTTTGTTTTGGGTATAATTTTTCGTATTAGTTATACATAATATATTTGTTGTGCTTTTTACTGCGCGATGAAGCTTTTTGCGTGTATTTTCTTTGAAGTAAATGCAAATAAAAAAATGAAGCACCATTAGCATGTAAGGTTCGAAATTTCGAATCCATAATTAAAATTTCGACAAATATTATAATTTACACTATAAAAGGCTAATTCAATATTATCACCCAACCACAATATCTTATCAGGTATAGTGCTGCCTCGTTGGTCTAGTGGTTGTAGTAGTGCGACTGCTGATCATGAGGTCCCGGGTTCGAATCCTGGGTCGGGCCAAAAAGTCAGTTATGAGTTTTTCATTTATGTTCTAAGTTATAATTAGTATTACTAAGTTATAGTTTTTTGCTAAAATATAGTATATTATTTATTGCTTGTTTTTTCTTCTTTTTCAAAAAATAATTGAGTACATAAGGTGTTCTATACTTATAATTCGGTAAAAAGTACTAATATACCTACTTTTTACTATAAACTAAAAATTTTTAAAACTAAATTTAACTAAAAAGACTAAACTGACCATTTATTTTTTAACTCATAACAGGACATGGGTTTATTTATACTCTAAAAACTATAACTTTATACAATTAGTGTTCACTATAAAATTATATTCGGTATAGACGGTAATTATTAAATGCAACATATTTTTTTTAATTATTAATTACATTTGTCAGTGGATTAAATTTGCTGTAATAAAGTTGGTGATGATTTTAAATAAGAATAAAATTCTGCTCAAGTTTTTTATTGTTATCTTTGTTAACAACATCGCCTTTAGAACTCTGGAACCGTAAGTGTTTCTTTCAGACGTCCACAATTTATGCAAAATAAAAAAATACTCTTTCTACCGGAGCATTCGTACCAGGTAGACATAAAATATATTCGATTAAAAAAAACTATGTTGAAGATTGTTGACTTTGAATACTTCCATCCAACGAGTTACGGGACAATTTTGTGTCCCGGAGCTTTGTTTGGGGACAATGGGACAGGAGACCGAGAAAAGGGACAGTCCCGTTCAAAACGGGACGTATGGTCACTTTAGCTATAACCCGGCGACCATGAAGCAAATACAAAGTTAGTTTTTGTATTAGCTTCATGGTGGCGCAGTGGCTTAGCAATCAGTTGTTGCGCTGGGGGCCGCGGGTTCGAATCCCGCATGGAACAAGTATTTGTATGGCCTACAAATAATTGTTCCGGGTCTGGATGTTTGTCTTTGTGCAATATTTATGTTTGTAAACTGCCTCCACGACACAGGAGAAAATCCTAGTGTGGGGGTAACGTTTTTTTACAACTGAAATTGAAAGATTGAACCCTTATACTTCTTGTTGATTTTTGTATTACCTTTATTAAAGTTACCCTTATGTATAAATAAATATAATTACGTATGTAGAAATAAAATTGATTTTCATCCTCATCAATCATTGGGGTGAGGATAATATCTGCTAGCATAAGTAATAAGCAGGCTAAGTTACAAGGTGCTCAGTTCAAAAATTAGTAGGTAACTTTTCAATACGTGACACGTAAAAATTAACAATAATCAAAAACACATATGCGAAACATCCTATTTATTTATTTATTTTTTATTGCACCAAATATTTGTACAAAAGCCGAGCTATCTATTTATTTACCTATAGTGAATAGGTATCTTTTAAACTCACAATTTTCAATGCTTCAGTTTTAATATATAATTAATTATAAAATTTCATAATTAGATAATATATGAAAATACATAATTCTAATATAATGCAACTAATATATACAGAATAAAAAAATTAAAATACATTTATCTTTGTACGCTATGTGTATTTCCATAAAATAGTTTATTGATGTTGAAAAAATAATACTACTTTCGTACAATAGGTGGCGTCTTACATATTTCTTCCGGCGAGCCGCTCGCTACAGCTACGCTTAGGTCAAATGCTCAAGGTCGTTCGCATGGAGTAGCCCCTTAAATGACATTGTGTAAAAAAAATAGCGTTGTTGTGTCAGTCACAACTAGCGACATCTGGTGAGTGGAAGATTATGAGCCCTCATTAATGAATAATTTTAATATTTGTACATGATAAAAAAATAATTGGCCATCTTTCTGTTACATTAAGTAATTGATAAATTTATTAAGTTATAAATTATCAAATGAAAATTTCCAAATTCACTATACTTCTATGATTAGAATTATGTTAATTTCTGTTTGCTTTAAGAAGATAATAAACAAGTCAGATGGAAGCCTTAAAGAAAACAAGTCACTAAACGTTATAGTGTAAATATATTGTGATACGTACTTAGATCTGGTCATTTACGTTAAAAAGATGCGTTAAATTTTTATATATAAAAGCGCAGCTTTGGAGGCCCTAGTCAGGCACTACAATCTTAGAACATTAAACTTGGAAACCTGTTAAATGCTCTTATGCAAAATTAAGATGCAGTTTGTAAACTATTTGAAACCATATTTATTTACTATTTTTCATTTTAGTCGTATTATACAATCATGTTATGCCAACTAGCAACAATAGAGGACTTTGTTCTCAATTTCGAGCAAATAGTTCTTTTTTTTTTCTCTTTATTTGGATCACCAACAGACGATACACAATACTAACAAAAATATAACTTAACTATGCGACTACATGCTATGTGTTCATCTTTGATATAGCTACAGTTTGTGGATTTCATGCTTACATTCTATATATAATATTGATATTAAATTAAATCTACTAATTTTATTACACATTTCTGAAATGTTTATGGATCAAATACTTAAATCTAGACAACGGTGTATACATTATATCTATTTCTATGGAATTTGGTATACGGTTGTATTATGACATCATTCTGGTAAGTGGGGAGTTACGACCTAAATTACTTTTACAGAGACGTTCTTTGAACAGCTTGTAAGCCTTAAAGCGCGGTAACTTATTTGGCACAGATATATTTATTTTACTTAGAAGTTGCGGGCAGTCAATATGGTTATGTAATAATTTGTGCAAGAACATAAGATCTAGTTTTTTCCTTCTATTGTTGTCATTTTAAAATATTTAAGTTTTTTATTATATGAATTCAATAAATGTGATTTCTTTGTGTGGTGACATAAAAAGCACAAAAATCTTTGATCAGGTACTAGATGTCACTACTACGAGTATGTAAATTAAACAAATTGTTATAAAGAAAATCTTCTATTTAGTAGAAAATAAGCGTAACAGCAATTAAGATATTTTATTTTCTTCAAAGTTAATAAAAGTCTGTGATAATTTTTTTTAACATGTGCTTATAAGTAAATACCGATTACACGTGCTTATGTAAAATTATTCATTAAAAATCCCGTAATTAGATATTTTTGGATTTTTTTTTAAATTCAATCTGGCAGCACAGCAACCTGCCATTGTGTAAATTTATTCACGCTA